GTGGTGGTGTGATACCAAATCATCTGTCCGCCAGAGTCACCTTTACAACGTCCTTGTTTGCGCACAACACTGGACCGGACTCGGAATGTGCGTGGTATTTCTGGCAATATGGCTCTCCAATGATCCACAGCCTAATTCGCCATGGCCCACCCTCATTGTCGCCCAAGCAACGTACTTGAACACCGCCCAGGTAAGTAGTTCGATCGACACAAATATCGCCTACTAAAAGCATTAGCCACTGTTGCCGATTTGTTCTTGGTTTTCAGCTGATACAACCTGGAAAAGGGTCGTCGTTTGGGCAGTAACTATCCTTTGCGGTGTGTCACTTGTCGGAGGTGCCTACTTGGCGAACAAGTATGCCGACCAATCCCGTCTGATTAGGCCCTGCACTCTCTTGGTGGTCTCTGCCATTGGCTTTTGGTCTGGATTTGGATTATGGCAAAGGGGCTTGCTTGCCGAGAGCACGCAAGAAGACGCATGTTGCAGATACCTGCGCTACATGCTATGCATTTCTCATGGCCTCTACATCCTGACCCCGGCACTTGCGGCGATGCCAGACAACCAATCCTCATATCTGGTAGGCACACTCTTGCTGTAGAGAGACTTGCCTGACAAGAATAACAGGCAGCTTACTTCAGTACGATGCCATTGAGGGCAGTTGAGATAGTCTATCATGTCTGTATTAAGAGAAATCTCATGGCCGTCTCCAGTAACGTCGGCAGCGACGTGGCTTGTCCAGTGGACATTTCGTCACACTCAGACCAACGCCAAGGAAAGACAGACCTATGGAGAACTTGAGAGGGTGGTAGAACACCAGATAACAGGTGTTTCAAGGGAGGGTTACATCGGGCGGGGAAGAGAAGAGTGGCTTTGAATACTACTCATACGATAGTGCAATAGATAATTCGATGCATTCTTACAACCCTACTCCTTAGAAGCTGTTTGCCTGCCTGCCTCACACCGGTTGATTTACCATAGTATCTGCATTGGGCTGCTGGTGCCGCCAGGTTGCCATACATCCACCAGGTATAACATTGCCTTGCTCTTTTAAGTCCTCTTCCTACGTGTCGTGGTTTGTGTGAAATGGTGATCGAGAGCAATAAATATGGAGGACACATCCCCATCATCCAGAATTATCTTCGAATGTTAGTCGCAACCAGAACTTCATACACTCGTCCAAGCTTCGGGTCCGAGCCACCGCGACGGATAACCATACTCTCAACAACTTCAACATGGGAAAGGACCTCACTCGGTTTTCTCATCTGCGCGACGATAGCAGAACTACAGTTGCAGAATCTCAAGGAAAGACGCCTTTTCGACATGATCAGAAGGTATAATGGCCAAACCGAAGTTTAGACCCGTTACTCACACGATGCAGACATATTCCACCGTATGCAACAGAAGTGGCGCAAAATGCGACTGGCGTCGTCCAGCTCTAGAATGGAGCTTGGCTAATATACTTTGTAAGCAGGACTGGACCGTCGCGCCCCCAGGTCCAGCCTCAGACCAGGACGCGCTTGCACCCTATGACTTTGAGCCAGATCCACAAGGAGCGGCTTTCGTTATTGAGTGGAAGCTGGCAAAGATACTGAAAGATGCCGGTTGGAAAGTTGAACCACCAGGTATGCATATCTCGTCCACTGACACGCCTATGCACCACGGCACTCTCTCGGTGTACCAACACAATCGATTCCCGATCCTTGAGGAAACCGCCGAACACGACCCGGCTGAATTTAGAGAACGCAAGTTTCTGCATCCATGAAACAAGCCTGAAGCTTACATTGATAGGTCGCGATGGACCGCTCTACGAGCCAAGTCTAACGGATACCTGGGAAGAGGCGTTGGCTTCGCAAAGCCATCAAGGAGTTACAAATCTTTCCATCGCTTCGATAGTCAATAGTTCAGACGTAAGTCATACCACCTAGCTCTTCAGAGTGCTATTCTGTATCCAACCATCATATGAATACCTCAGCATGACTCCCTTCGGCCAATGTCCGCCGGCGGCGTCATGCCCCAGCCCGGTATGAACACCCTCTACGGACCTGGCAGTGTCATCCCTGGCGGTCTTGGCGACAACGACCAGCCCACCCACGTTGTTGGCTCTCAGGGTCGTCGCGGCATCCTGCCCAGCGTGCCTGGACGCCCTGTTGCCACTCCCGCCGGCGCCGGAAACAAGAAGAGCACTGTCGTCCTGGTCAAGAATGCTGATGGCAAGTTCCTGTGCCCTCACTGCACTAAGACCTACCTCCACGCCAAGCACTTGAAGCGTCACATTTTGCGTCGTAAGCACTATCAAATCCGCGATGCCGGCTCTGTTTTCTGACAGTTATGATCGATAGATACGGGCGACCGCCCTTACATGTGTGTGCTGTGCCGCGACAGTTTCTCGCGAAGTGACATTCTCAAGAAACACTTCCAGAAGTGCTCCATCCGCCGAGGCAACCCGACTGGTGCTAGTCACTTGTCCCATTCTCAAGCTTATGTCAGACAGAATGCTGCTGCCCAGAAGGCGGCTTTTGGCAAGGATGCCGGTCTCAACCGCCTCGATGGCCCTGCTAGCATGCCTGCGTGTAACGCTTTGATGCCTATAGAGAACGACATTATGCGACAGCCCGACTATGGGAACACAGACAAAATTGATCTAAAGCTGTCATGATGACTCTGGTGGACGAGGATAGGTCTCTCGTGGTTTTCAGCCGATACAACATGGGAAAAAGGTCGTCGTTTGGGCAGTAACTATCCTTTGTGGTGTGTCACTTGTCGGAGGTGCCTACTTGTCACAAAACCTGTTTTTGGCCATTGTGTCTGTCTTTTTTGTGACAGTTGTCTTGTCTGTCTTAGCCTGAGACGCGTTTCGTAGTGGTGTGACTCAGAGTCGTCCGTCTAGCCAAGCTCTATCTACACTGCCCTTTTATGCGCGTAACATTGCTTGGGGTTCATCCTGTGCGCCACCTGCCTGGCGGTTTGGTACTTTAACCCAGTCCCAAATCACTATGACTACCACTTCTTCTCGGAAACAAGCCGCATCATCCTGCTCTCCTGTTTGGAGTGCGGCTGCATCATCCTATACGCCTACGTCAGCAAACGTGCAAGCGACGCTGAAAATCCGTCTTACATATTTGATCTCGGTAATAGTGGTTACCAGAATCCCGTTAAGAGGTAAATTTCGGGGTGGTACGGGCGCTGGGTGGTGCCAGCACCTTGTACTCCTTTGTTGATTCGTATATTTCTCCGCAGCCGACATCCTGGTGGAACTGTTGGATCGCTGTTCTTGATGAGATTTTCGAGACCTGGAAGGAACAGCAGGAGCATGCGGCTGCCCTCATTATATTCTGCATTGGGTGGCATTTGGAAAACTTTGCCGACAGACCCGGCGAGCCAAGATATGCCGCCAGTGACCACTTCGGTCAACGATGAGCCATATGCTCGGCAATACAAATGCCGCTGCAGAAATTTCGGGATGCGTTAACCGCTTCTTCTTCGATTCCGTGAGAAGTTCACTGTCCAGATGCCTCAGAATGATGGACGGTGGATCAACTGGCCTCAGGACCTCGTCGGTGATGGGACGAAAGAACGGAGTCTTAGACTGGTAGCGCCTAAGACTGTTGGCTTCGTTTTCTAGGCGCCAATGGCCGTGAACGCTCTTGATAATGAAATTCCTTTTGCTTTCATCCCTGGAGCACGGAAAAATTCATATTCAAAGGAATTCGTGGGCACAATGAGAAAAGGTGGGGGTGGGGCTACAATGGCTAGGTATACGGCAGCTTCTTCCACAGCCCTGTAAAGCTCCTTAGTAATGGTGTAGGTCGATCGGCGTTCTTTAAGAACCTGAACCACGCTGTGCAAAAAGAGAAAACATCGTCGAGGCGAAAAGGTCCACCTCGCGAGCCCCCAGCATGTCCGCATGACTTCGTTTGCCAGCAACTGCCTCTCTATTCCACCGGGCCTCCAGCCCAGAGTTGATCGCTGATATAGTGCCGAACCGCTGGCGATTCAGGAACAAGGAACCAGGAGGCACTTGACCAAGGAACTCAAGGTTCAGCAAATTGATCGACAGTAGCCCATTTCTTAAGTCGCAGCCTTCTGCAATGCTCCTGACCACCTCGTCGATACTCATTCCGATCAGATCCTTGCCCTCGGTGCCCATGTCTTGCATATCCACCGTGCTGCTTTGAAATGATTCTTCAATGTTTCTGAGAACTCATCAAGAGCATTGCAAGCCGCTATTGGTTGGCCTGGAGTCCTGATCCTTGAAACCATCTAGTGTGAATGGACTGGCAGTGGTGTTTTGCCTCACGACATTCGCTTAGAAGCTCTCGGATCAGTCTGTTGTACTTGTTAGAAAAGGCCTGCTGTGAATTAGACGGAGACACTGTGGTAGATATGCGAGATTCTGTCAATGATGTAACCTCTGTGTTTTTTGCCTGTTCTATCGTCGGTAACTCTGCCTCTTCATAGGATGTGTGACCGCTTGAATCCATATGTCTTCTCTATCCTTTTGTAATAAACTTCTCATGACAGACTGTGCATTTGAAGTGAAAGGTTGTGTAGTGTTTTGGCAGCCGCTTACGATTCAGGTGCTCTCCACACCTTATTTGACAAGGAATCTTTGAGAGCGGTTGTCGCGGCTGTCTTTGAGGAAGATCAACTAGGTCACCATGGTGGCCGGTGGCGTTCCCACTCGCGACCGGAGCGGACTTTGCCGCAACAGTTAAAGTGTTCGTATTATCGATGTGAGCGGAAGGTATTGGTTTGAAATTGGTACCACATGGGCATTCTACGTTGAATACCTTAGCCATAGGAAACTTGAGAGCGTAGCACGGAAACCGAAAGCGTCGCCCGGAGCCTGAGTTCGTAGTGAAGAGACCAAAAGTGTAAATTGCGAGATTGGCATACGGATGTTAATATACGCCGCTGGGAGGTGGGGGCTGGTTATGCAAGGCTCCATGGGGCGTTGCTTAATAAAGCATGGAATGCCTGCTAACCGCAACATTGTGTTGGGGGACCACATCCTCTAGCATTCATAAGCCTAGGTTGCGCTTTGATTACCTCACTGTTATCTTACCTATCCCACTGGATCCTCGACGGCAGGAACAGTGGTCCCCTTACCGCGCCTAGCTAAGATGTGAGAGAAACCTACGATACTGACACCTTTGACGAAGATTGACGGACTATGCAGGCTAATCGGATTTGCCCTTGTTGCTGAGTGGTATGCATGTGTGTGCTGATATCTCGAGAGGAAGAGGATACCCTCCTATTCCTTGAAGGTCTAGTCAGGCCTAGGGAAACAAAACATCAGTCACTTATACACGTCTTTTCTGGATATCAAAGTGATGAAAATGTCCGTGTCTATTTAAGTGCCTGTCTTGAAGAGGTGTTGCTTGCTTGTCTGATTTCTTGATGATTGAGCATTATTGACCTTCTTTCTTGACTGATCCTAGGCACTGTCCTGTATAGGACATACACGGGGTCCTAGTTTTCTTTTCTCGCCGATGTGAACTGAGCCGCATGCGTTCCTCTCACCCACCTCCCCCAAATTGCAGGGACTGCTCGGTCTGTCAACGTTAATCACGACTCATCATCCGCCGCCATCTGAAGCTGCTAATCCTCGTGACATGGCTGGTCCCTGCATTGCCAACTGATCTTTGTCTGAAAGCTAGGCAAACAAGTAGATGCACCTGCTTAATTGGGCTACAGCGGGGCCTGGACAAAACTGTTGGAATGGGCAATTGGAGGCAACAGGAGGATGGGGAGCACAGAGCGGTTAGCCACACTTGGCAAGGTGGGTCAACCACTCAGCCACAACGAGAGGCATACCTCACTTCACCTTGCCGCTGGCCACGCAGTTAGACTTCCCATCTCCATACCTCAGTACAACCACCAGCAATATCACCACTTTGACGTGATCGTTGCTATCGACTCGTACGAGTTTACCGCAAAATGAAGCTGTTATGCTGCAGAGCTAGGGTCTTGAGCAAACCCTCGAAAGCTTCCGGGTTCATCTCCGCTGTCCCCTGCTTCACCAGGCTCGTTTTGCGCCCGTCGGATGTCCTCGATATCAGCGAAATTCATTGAAGGTTAGCTTCCTTGTTTTTGACGGCAAATCCTTGGAAATCTTCTATCTTAACCCGTCCGCGTTGATTGTCATCCGATGCACCAAAGTGGTAACACGGTCAGGATGTACTTGCTCTTGGCCGGCTTCTTCCGCCGCGTCAATAGCTGTTGAACTATTTCCGTCACGACGCCATGGCTTTCGCCCAGGCGTATCTACAAATACATGTCGCACGATCCTTCATATCTGCTGGACCTTGGTACACAGGAAATACCTCTTCGACAACGAATTCGATCTCCTCGCCATCACCAGCTGTATATTCGCCCGGATCGCCCGTGGCCAGTCAATCACTATCCAATACCTTTCCCGCCGATTGAACATGACGCCTGAATCTAGCATGTCTCACAGGGTCTGTAGCATCGCGCGCACAAGAATGTGTCGAGACAGCAGTCGAAGTGAAGACTTCACGTACAGAAGTGTCGAGTCGCAGAAATCGAACGTCGGGAAGAGGATCCAGATGCTCCTTTGCGGGTGAATTTGAGAAGCATAGCGGTGGTTAACCTGCCATTGTATCCGGCGGCACAGGTAGCGCCTCAGTATAGCAACGACGAAGTCTCCCTTGCCAGACTTCAATTCTTCCAATCAAGCTCGACTGGCCGAAATCGCGGTCTCTAGGACGAGCCATATCGCCGCGCTAGCTGACGTCATTTGCATTCGTGGATTGTTCAACCACAGGTTCTCCGGTTGCGGGTGGGTCTTTCTCGGTGTCTTCGTACTCTTGTCAGCAGTTGATTGACGCAACAGGTTGAAACCGTACCTTTTCCTTTGGTACTGTGTCTCATAGTTTTGAGCTTCTCTCGCAAGATGGAATACCCTTGATCCGCGTCGTTGCGTATCATATCTGCTATCCGGGTATTTTTTGTGCTGCAGAGATGGTCGATCAACTCGCCGAGCCATTCTACCCTCTGGTCGTCGCCCACCTCTGACCACGGCGGTGGCGTGCCCACCGCCGTGGTCGAGATGACGGTCCCTGCGACACGTTTCGCGATGCGCTTCTGCTCTCGGGAGAGCAAGCTGGAAGATGATGGCATGGTGGTTGAGGATGGAGCGGTCGCGTTTGTGTTGGTAAGGAGCAGACACTATGTCAAAAGAGCACCCTGAATTGGAGCTGGATATGTAGGTATGCAGTCTGTGGCTTTTGAAGGTATCGATATTTTTGCAATTAACGGAGCGCAGTAATCCTGGCTGGAAAATCAATGAAACCAAGTCGTTTGTCAAGGAGAGTAGTTGCGCACCCCTTGTAGAAACTGCTGTGTGCTGTGCGCCTATGTCTCACGGTCTACAGGAACAGTTAGGCATCAGTTGGGATGCCACAATCAAGATTCCTCTGGCTTCATCACGAAGAAAAAACAGCAACCTGGAAATTATTTCATTGCAGGATCCACCTGAGCGCTGGCCTATCAAAACACTGCAGCAGCGGCACCGGTCATGGTCTTATGGAGAGAATGTTCTGACTTTCGCTGGTTGCGGTTTCGTGATTCGTGGTTCGACTTAACACTGGCGACCAAGGTAATGTGTACCTCAATGAACACGAGGCTTGCCCTTACCAGTGCGGTAAATACCGAGTCACTGTCGGCGTCACATGCCATGATACAACCAATCAAAGTGCTAATCGCCCAGCATCCATGATGTATCATATGCATATACGCCAATCACACCACATATCCTTGTACATGCTGAGGACACCATGCAGACCACCAATACCACAAAATCCCTCATATCCTCGTAATACCGCCCACCAATGTCTAACACCATCCACACCACGCATTCCGATGCATCCTAGGATGCCACGTAGACCACCAATACCAAAAAATCCCTCATGCCCTCGTGATACCACCCACACCACCTACCCCGCTAACACTACGTAATCTCGTGCATCCTTCGGACGCCGCACATACCACCTGCATCATTAAATCCCTCATATCCTCGTAAAACCATGGATACCCTTTCACACCACACATTACGGTATATTCTCAAAACGCCATCAACACCATGTACTCAACAAAATACCTAGCATTCCCAAAACGCCATAAGTACTGCCCACACCACGTCACACCCTACCCCCCCAACCACACCGCACATGCCTGCATATCCTCAGGACACCATTGAAACCACATACTCCACAGCATCCCTCACATTCTCGTAACGCCATGGCCACCATCCACACTACATCACCCTGTTGTCTGACCCACTTCCTCGTCCTGGGCCCGGCCGCTTTATGCTGCTGGACGGCGTACGGTATACCCAATCCATGAGGATCCTGAAGCTACTTTAACGGCTTCGGCATGGCCAATGGCAATAGTAATCATGATGATGATAAACAGTACTTAGTAGCCACCGCAAGTCAACGGGAAAGATCAAGGTCGTGGTCGGCTTGTATGTAGTTTTGCCGGAAAAAGAACTACACGCGCGGGTTTCGGTTTAGTTATCATCGCCATAGCTGTAGGTCACAGAGGTGTGCCACTGATTTTGTGATTCAAGGCCAACCATGGCCAGCGGGCAAGAGATAAGCCAATGGTGCGGTCCTATAGCTCTCATGGGCTGAAATATGCCACACGCTGCCCCCTACCAACATGTTAACCTGGCCGGGCTAAGGACGGCCGCTTAGCTAGGATTCACGCGGCAACCAATATCCAGCAAGTCAATGAAGCTGCGGCCAACATGTCCGACCACCTCTGAGTGGACTCAAGGATTTTTCAAAGACGATCCATTTGAGACTCCATCATCGTTGTTGCTCCGCGTTAAGAGTATGGCAAGAGTTAGTGACATGGCCAGTACTGATCCCACCATATGCGGGCCGGTCGGAGTCTAGCTAGTTTATGCCGTAGAAAGAGCGATACCGAGACGACCGATGCGTCTGGGTTGTTAGATGACAGGTCCATTTCGACGCCATCACCATTACAGATTAAACCAACCATCCCATCCCCTGAAGATGCAGGCTGTGCCTAAAAGGACGGCCAGGGCCAAGCTGATCGTTTCGGTCCACCTCGAACATTTGCTGCAGGTCAACGCGGACAGAACGAAGTGATGGCCCGCATGAATGCAACCTTTCCAGGCTTTCTTGGATCCAACTAAATGAGAATACAACGACACGAACAGGCTTTTGGAATGGTGTATCTCCAATACCTATTCCATTGCTTGTGCGAAGGAGTCCGGCTTAGTGTGCGCAGTGCAGGTCTCGCAAATCTCTCGTGTTGTTGCGACCAGCAAGTATAAAGATGCCCTGTTTCTTCCGTGGAAACTTCACCAACACAACCTTTCTATGACATACCCGATCGCCAAAACACCCGTTCTCGACATATTGGATCTTGAATCGAACCATAATTGCCCTTATCAGTAGTTGTGTCTCCATATTGGTTTCTCTGGAGTCAATGCTCTTCATCGTACCTCGTGCAATCATATTTGAAGACTTCTGTAAGAGAATTCAAAGAATCCATAGTCGAGTCCTCACATCGGCGTACTAATTACTAGCTGTGCTCCAAAAACCAGCCGGTAACCACCAACAAGATGCCCCAGCAGAAGAAAACGATCCATGCCGATTCTGATAATCCGGAAGCAACAAAAGAGGCTTCTCCCAACCCTCCACCTACCAATCCCACAGTCAACGGTGGAAATAATTCTTCAGGTCACTCTCCGAAGGATCATGACACCAACGACTTTGCCCCTGTTGACATCAATGCCGAGAACGTGAGGAGTTCCTGAGCAACTACTCAGGAAAAGCAGTTGCTATACTGGCGCCATAGCTTGGTCGATGTCAATAATTTTCTAGGAAAGAAGTCGGCAGAATCAACAAAGACGCTGAAACTTTGTTTTAGAGGTGATTCCTAGTTGGTCTACAATAGAACTACCTCAAGTCTTTCATTTAGTTCTTGGCTGTCATACATAGGCGAAATGACCAATCGAGGTATTCTCGAAAGTTCGTCTCAACTGATGGTATTCTCACAATCACACTTGGTTCAAAATGAATCTCTCCCTATTTTCGAATATCAGGCAGGCTTCATGATATGTGAACTGTCAGTATTCTGCCCCCCGTCTCATAACTACCACTTTCGTCATGCCAGCATCCGGGAGTCTGATTAGTCAGCAAGGAAGCCAGCCACTTGGTCCACAGTGATTGCATGACTAAACCGAAGTGACGAATCGGCTGACAGTTACTTTGGCGAATTCCTATTGGCTTATTGCGCAAAACAAGATGCGACTTCATCCATCCATGGCCCGCTAAATCGTTTCAACCCGATCACTCACTAGTTTCCCAACCCAAATACGGCCTCCTTGTGAATGTGATTACATACGACCCGATGAGGACCGGAGGATATAAGCTGTTGACTCTCCGGTTTTGAGACGTTGTTTCTCCTTCCACGTCCAGATGGTATCACCAAGCACTCGGGCAAGCAATGAATGGTTTCAAACCCCTCCAAGTCGGAGAACCAGCAACGCAGCAGTTGTGCGAAGAACGACGGGAAACGGAGCTCTTGAAGACAAGGGGAACCTTGCGCGAATACAGAACAGGCAAGAGAGATGCTGAAATTCTTCGTAATTTCAAGACGCAATACGTAAGAATGAGTGACTCTGCATCAGCAAGTAGGACTAATCACTTCGTCTAGGAACCGGATATCAAGGAAGAGGCATGCCTTGCAAACACAAGTATCACTGGACCTCGGTATTATGGACCACGTGAACTTGAAACTGGCACAATTGCTTCACCAGAGCACACCATTACCATCTTCATACCTTTAGCACCAAGACTGTCGAGTGCGGCCAATCCTCAGAAGCCACCGAAAGTTCTGTTTCAACCCAACAGAGACAAAGAAACTGTTCGGGAGCCTATAACATGGCACATAGGGACTCCTATTCAGATCCCAGGGAATAGTCGACTTGTTGTGGACGAAGGATTGATTTGTTTCGAAATGTTGCAATATGACTGGAAGCCGGCCAAGCATCAGGATCGAGAAAGCGAAGGCGAAGGTGTTAGACAAACCTCCGCGGATCAACCCGGTGGATAGCCAAGGACAGAAACGAATGCTTTATATAATAAACAAAGATTATATTATCCTCCTTAATCAGATGGATAGTCGAAGATATCAGACATATTGAGGGGAGATAAGCCACTCGTGTCAAAGTTGCACGGCTCGGGGCTCTCTAGAGAGCCAGTCATACACCCACCCGAGCCACCACTATTAGAAAGAAAAGGCTTTGGGGAATTACCCCGCGAGTGTGAGAAGGAGCCGAGTGAAAGTTCCGTAGGTATCAGGGACGTAGGTTCTAAGGCCTGAGTACAGCGAAGCTGTAGAAGTGTTTGGGCAACTTGGTGTCCCGCAATGTCTCTATCACCATTGAGTACCCAGAGTTCAGGGTTCTCCACGACTCGCCCAAGAACGTGTTGAGGCCTCGACTCAAATTTTGCAGCCGAGTCTGGGGTGCGGTGGAAGTGCGCTTGGGAGCGGATTATCCCCTCTGTGCCATCAGTGTAGCCTACAAAGCGACTGTGAGACGACGTTGGAGGCGTAGTGGTGCCGTTCAAAGAGGTGTGATCCACAACTTCTGGCCTCGGGAGGTTGACTCTTGGGTTAAATGACTTGGGCGCCCCGTTCGTGCTGGGTAGAACAGGGGTCAGCTTCGACCCATTTTCGAGGGGGACTGAAGAAGATGACTCTCGGTGCGTTTGATGCATATGATGGCCTCGTCCGTCAACTTGTACTGTCTGCGCATATACGCTATCTTGAGATGGTGCTCCAAGATAATGAAGGCCGCTGCGTAGTTGCAATAGCACATTCTCGAGTGCGGCGTCTCTAGAGTCATTGTCTGGGGTGGCTGCGAAATAGGTAGCGTATGAGCTGGAATCACAGACGTTTTCTTGATTTAATGGCAGGTTATCAGGAAAAAAGTCTGCAAAAGGATGGCGGTGGTAATTTCATTGGGAATTTCAACGTACCTTCAGCCTCAAGTATCTTGCGCCTCTTTGCTGGTGGATATGATATGCAGCTCAGCCTCGTCCAAACTGCCCAGACCGATGCGTCGAATTGCTCTTGAGACAGATCCGTTTTTAAGGCCTTACATATGACGTTTAACCTGACTCATTAGTCAGTTGTGGAACTATGAGAACCCTACAGAGCTTCTATGCTCACTTGAAAGTGTTGCCTACTATCAACTTGACCATAAAAGCAACTGAGAGCGAAACATCTGCATGCACCTCGTCTTTGGTTGAAGGAAGAGGAAGGGAAACCACGTGTGCGAACTCTTCTGAGTCCTTGGCTTCATATAATGCACGGTATGTTCCAATACCTGGTCCATCTGAAGTGCGTCAGTATTGCGTCGAATGTAGGCACAGGCGATCCTTACAAAGTAAGAAGAACTCGTCTGCTCGATGCTTAAGCTTGGTGCGCATTAAGTTCGCCTGACGGATCGGCCAGAGAACCGCTGTTCTAAGGTGTCTGAGATGAGATGATTGTCGCTCAGCTTTCGTCGCGTGCTTTTTCTCTGGTAGGAAGTCGTTCATGAGCGCGTCGACCTTGTCCACAGACTCCCCGGACTCGCGTGCAACTCGACAGAGACAGATGAACAACAAGATGCCAAAGTGAGATATCTGGGTCGCGCGTATGCTATCCTGCCGCAGGTTCCTAACGAACGCCCTGTAGTTTGCCAGAACGGCTTCTCCGAGCGAAGGCCGGAATTCTATCGTAACATTGGAGGGCGCGAAATGAGGTTTGGACTGGGTGTAATTAATAAACTCTAAGAAGGTCCAGATGACGGCTTCGGGCCTGGAAAGCTGAATGTCTTCCCGTCTTTGACACCATTCCTGGTCGGTCTTGGGGGCCAGTTTAAGCAGGCGACGAAGCTCGGGGGACCTCCAGTCATGTTTGTTGCTGTTGGGCCTGTCATTCTGAGGGGATTCGAGCTTGAAAACAAAAGTGGAAGACTCGGAAAGACGCTGGCTTTGTTGACGGGTCTCGAACTCGAAAGTAGGAAGGGTTGAGTGGGATGGATGTTGGCGTGTTTCGGCCTCGAATACAGGCGCCAGATGGCCGGGCGGCCGGTCAGTCAACACTGGCCGACGACGCAGAGTATTGACCTGTGTCCTTAGTGTTCGTACCTCCGCTTCTAATGCTTGGACCCTTGCTTCTGACACTCGTAGTTTTTCCTCAAGAGTGTTCACAGACTGCCTCGTATGGGAGTGAAGCGCTTTTGATCTTGTGTGATTGCCTCGCTGCATTTTATTAGGAAGTCGGTGAAAGTGTTTGGAGTTCAGGATTCGGAGTGCAAGAGAATAGTTGGAGTGGAAGTCCAGCGTTCCTGAGAACAAGGTGGCTGTGGCTGTCTCTAGAGCTATACCGGATTAAGAGGTCCAGCCAGGACCTCCCGTTCCGGTATAGTCAAAGTACCCCCCTCCCTCCTGCAGATCTTGACTGTACTTTATCCATCCCTCTTATGCCCCTCCTTGTAATCCCTGCTGGATGTCCAGTTTTCAGAAAGACTTCTTATTCTTACTTGTACTTGTGGGTATCGGCGGCATTCTTCCTCTTTAGCAATGTAACAAGCCTGTCGTCCTTGAGCCAATGTTCCCAAAATGTGTGCATATGCTTCCCCAAATCATCTGTCCCATCTACCTGAGGTGTGGTTACGTGTATTGGCACCGAAGCTTTTCAGATTGCCGATGCGGCCCGTCACAAGCGACCCTGTCGCTGGCATGACAGAGGAGGAACTGCTTATTTTGTTGGCTGCAACCCTCACTTTTCTTTTGATATGTCTCGACAAATAGACCACGAGATCATTCCACCCCAATAACTTGCACTATGATATCGACTGATGCGGAAAATTATGCGGATCACCGAATCGAGACCAAATGCTGGTCGAGCGATCCTAGCGACAAAAAGCTCGGCTCGCACATTTGAGTGACCACTGTCACCGTGACTCGATGTGTACCTCACACCCGACGTTCGTTGTATGGAGGTCATGTAAGAGAAACCTTCAGGAACACCAGCCTATCATAGGTCTGGCCTGGCCGACTCGATATGTCGCAAGCTGCAATTCCAAGACCCCGTTTCACATTTCCGCTTCAAGCTGTCACTCGGCATCACATCCGCCATGCAACAATATCACCCCCATTCCTTATAAATATTCTATGACGCTGTTAGATACATACATGATGTAGTAATATGCCGTGGCTGAAAACGTTAGAAGCTGCATTTATGTACAGCGCCGGGTCATAAATCTGGGCACATCAATAAGCATAACCCAATCAACAATCACAGAGGGGACCCATTAGCTTGGGGTCACTTCACAGTCCACCAGCAGAAGTGCTGTCTCCCACCCCATTGTAGATGCTGATTGGGTTATCCTTATTGCTGTGTCCAGACTTATGACCCGGCGCTGTATATTTAAATCACAATGCTTCGCCGCTTGGTTGCCTTGTCTGCCTCGTCCGCCTAGTCCTCCTCGTCATCAATTGCTTCAGCGTTTGAGCCTGCTGTCAAATCTTGTTTCTTTGCCCCCTCTAATCCGCCAAAGAGAGCTGGAGGGCACATGCGGCATTTTCAGTTATCAAATTTGGCATGGCTTTCCAACCACCTCGCCAGCCCACTATGTTTTTAAGCACCGGCGACCAAAATCATGCGGATACGGACCATGGCGCATCGGTGAGTTCCCTTGATGAGGCCGAACTAGAAACTATGGGCTATAATTAGTTGATCCCATTACTCCGTTAA